GAATTAGTGCAGTAGTCAACAGAGTCTTGAGCTTCTGAAAGCTTTCCTCACACTCATCCGACCATACAAATGGAACATTCTGCTTAGTCAAGTTTGTCAGTTGGGAAGCAATAGAAGAGAATCCCTTGACAAATCGGCGGTAGTAGCTAGCTAACCTAACAAAGCTCCTTATTTCTGACACATTAGTAGGTCTTACCCAATTCTTCACTGTCTCAATCTTAGAAGGATCCACCATCACTCCATCCTTAGAAACCACGTGCCCCAAGAAGGACACTGCATCTAGCCAAAACTCACATTTAGAGAACTTGGCATAAAACTTTTTCTCCCTCAACATTTCCAATGCCATTCTCAAATGCTCCTCCTTACTTTTAGAGTATATCAGTATATCATCAATAAATACGATCACAAAAAGATCCAAATATGGCTTAAAAATCCAGTTCATCAAACTCATGAACGCAGCAGGGGCATTCGTAAGACCAAAAGACATCACTACGAATTCGTAATGCCCATACCTGGTTCTAAAAGCAGTCTTTGGCACATCCGTTGCCCGTATCTTCAATTGATGATAACCGGATCTCAAGTCAATCTTAGAGAAGACACAAGCACCTTGTAACTGATCGAACAAATCATCAATGCGAGGAATGGGATACTTGTTCTTAATAGTTACCTTGTTCAACTGTCTGTAGTCTATGCACATCCGAAAACTCCCATCCTTCTTCTTCACAAACAAAACCGGAGCACCCCAAGGAGATGCACTTGGTCTAATGAAGCCTTTAATCAACAACTCTTGAAGTTGGGCTTTTAACTCTCTTAACTCCGCGGGAGCTATTCTATAAGGGGGTATAGAAATGGGGCGAGTACCTGGTTCAAGATCAATACAGAAGTCAATATCCCTATCTGGTGGCATACCAGGAAGATCTGCAGGGAACACATCCAGAAAGTCACGGACCACTGAAACCGACTCAATCGAAGGCACTTGGGTAGTGTCATCCTTGAGATGTGCCAAGAAATCTAAACACCCTTTACTAACAATTTTCCTAGCACGAAGAAAGGAGATGATACGCACCGGATTGGAAGTGTAGTCACCCTCCCACACTAATGGATCTATCCCAGGCTTGGCTGACATCACCGTTTTAGCATTACAATCCAAGATCGCAAATTTTGGAGAAAGCCAAGTCATACCCAGAATTACATCAAAATCAACCATTTCTAAGATAACCAAATCTACATAAGTGTTGATCCCCACAAAGTTCACCAAACAAGACCTATATACCTTTTCAACTACCACAGACTCACCCACCGGAGTAGAAACACGAATAGGCATATCAAGTAATTCACAATGTAAATTTAGACCATTAGCAAATGAAAAAGATACATAAGAAAATGTGGATCCAGGATCAAACAATACAGAAGCCATGCAATCACAAACCAGAAGATTACCTGTGATGACAGCATCAGATGTCTCTGCTTCTGATCTCCCAGGGAAAGCATAACAATGGGCCCATTCGTTTGTTTGTCCGTTGCCCCTACCATGTTGTGATGTAGTGGCTCCAGTTTGCCCATCACCCCGGCTGTTTTGGTGACCACCATTACCTCGAGCACCACGTCCTCCAGAATAACGACCTCTACCATGAACACCTCTACCTCTAGCTATTGGGGGTCTATAACTCTGTTTGGGACAATTCCTCCTAATATGCCCAGTCTCCCCACATCCATAACACTCTCTAGAGTCAAGCATAGGTCTCTTAGAAAAGTGTTGACTGGTCTGAGGTGGACCCCCAACTACAGTCTGTAGTGAAGACTGAATGGGTCGAACTGAGTAGCCTCCGGAACCCTGTCCTCTAGAGTAAGAACCATTAAACTCACCTCCCTTTCGAAACCTCTTTGATGTCGATGCCATGGTAAATTCATCTGGCTTCACTCCTTCCACCTCTACCACGAAATCTACTACTTCTTGGAAGGATTTTGTCGTAGCCGCTACCTATAAGGCTGAAATCCGCAACTCTGACCTCAAACCCTTCACAAAACGACGAATCTGCTCTTGTGGATTGAAACAAAGTTGGGTGGCATATCTGGATAGTGCACGAAACTTAGCCTCATATGCATTGACCGACATCCTACCTTGCTCTAGGCTCAAGAACTCATCCTTTTTCCTATCCCTCAAAGTCCGGGGGATATACTTCTCCATAAACAAGCTACATAATGAGGCCCAAGTCATAGGTGGTGCCTCTGTTGGTTGACACTCAACATGTGACCGCCACCACATTTTGGCGTTCCCTTGAAACTGATAACTCACGAACTCAACACCAAACCATTCTACTATACCCATGTTGTGTAGTAGCTCATGACATTCAACCAGAAAATCGTAAGCATCCTCAGATTCAGCACCCTTGAAGACTGGAGGTTTCAATTTCAAGAACTTACTGAAAAGTTCATGCTGATCATTTGTCATTATAGGCCCAGTAGTCAGACATGGAAACGTGCCTATGTCCAATGAGACATCCATACGAGGAGCCATAGTGGTTGTATGTTGTACCTCTGAAACCGGAGGTGTTGGTGCAGAAAACACTGGAGGTGCCTGACCCTGATCAGACAATCCACTAAGATAAGCGAGAACCTGATTGATCATCTCTGGGGTAGGTTGGGGTGGCAATACCTCATTTTGCACTTGTTCATTCTCCCCTTCCTCACCCTCTCTTACTACTTCCTCAGTCGGTGGAGGAGTCACCGCCCTAGCATCAGATGGGCTAGATGCTTGTCCTCTTCCTCTAGAGGACGTCCTCCCACGACCTCTACCACGGCCTCTTGCCGTTGCTCTTCCTCGAGCCATAGCCCCAGTGGCTGTCTCAGTTACATCCTGCCTTGCTGGTGTTGGTGTTGGCGTAGTCGTTGCTCTAGTTCTAACCATCTGCAAAAGAGAGTGAAGATGGTCAGATACCAATTTGTATCACCTAGATACCAATTGGATTCAAGTAGTAGCACGAAGGAAAGAAAGAATGGAATTTTCCTAAAGTCTTATAGCCTCTCAAAGAAAAGTAAAGACGTCCCCCTACCGTTCCTTAAGACTCTACTAGACTCGTTCTTGTGTGATGAGACCAACGAACCTAATGCTCTGATACCAAGTTTGTCACGACCCAAATCGGGCCGCGACTGGAACCCACACTTAGTTCATCACGCCTTCTTTTATACCAAGGCCTCATTATTAACAAAGAGATTAGGATTTTGCAAGATTTGGGATTCAATAACTTCATCATGCTTATATAATCATAATTATATAATTACATTCATGCAAGCATACAATTAAGCACATAGCAGGGTTTACAATATTATCAATACATATCATTCGCTATTAAGAGTTTTACTATGAATATCGTAAGAGAAACCATAACCTACCTCCACCTAAGACTAGTGATCAAGCAAGAATTTCCCAAAGCCTTGTGTTTTTCCTCTTCGTTCGTCTCTCTCTATCGATTCTCCTTCTCTCTCTTTCTGTTCTTTTCTTTTTCTTATTCAAACCCTCTTTCTTTTACCCTAGTTAGCATATAATTAAGAATAAAAGATGGCAATAATAACCCACTAATTTACTCAAGGTTACCTCTTTTAACCCCCAAGTAATTGGATTATTAATATTCAACCACCAACTTTATAATTAAAGTAGGAATAGTCCAAAACGTTCCTTAAAACGTGTAAAGAAATCCGACCCAGACTGAGATTACGCAACCTGTGACGGCCCGTCGTGCCTACGACGGTCCGTCCTGCAGGTCGTCGCAAGGTTCAGAGACTCAATTTCCACCAAAGAGTCTGTGACGGTCCGTCACGCCTGTGACGGTCCGTCTTGCTATTCCGTTACGAAGTTCAGAGAGTCGATTTCAGTATCCAAATTTCAGAATTCTATGTGTTTTGGAACGAGACCCCCTCGACGGGCCGTCGTGCTCATGACGGTCCGTCGTGAGTTCCGTCGTCTCAGCTTGTTTTTCCAGAAATAAAATCTGCTGCTCAAAACGACTAAACAGGTCGTTACACTATGTTGATTGTATTATCTATGAATAATCTTTTAAATGATGACGTAAAATAGGAAAATCGCATTAGTAAGCCTTCTTCCATTAGTCAATTATCAACCATCATCGTGAGTCGTGGTAGAATATTAACAATTTATATACTTTTAATTAAATGTTTTTAATATGAGTTCTCCTTAGTTATAAAATTATCTTGTTAAAGAGAATTTTTTTAAAAAATATGTCATCAAATTTTCAGAAAAGATTTATTTATGTTATTCGTTAAAGGTTTGGTTCATTTATGTCATTACCGTTAAAGAAAAGCTCATTCATGCCAAAAAAATTTAATAGTGATTTTGAAAAAATATTTTTGACATGCGATCAATTATAGCTCGGGCACGTAATTAAATTTTTTAATTAAAAAATTATAATTCTGAAAGAAAAATTGAATTAATTTTATTTGATTCTTTTTATTAAATAATTAATTAAGTGACCGAATTATAATTGGTCTTGTCATCAATTTTTTTATTAAAAAAAATTAAAATTCTGAATAAAAATTGAATTAACTTTTTTATTAAAAAATTGATGAGGTGACCGAATTATAATTGACCACGTCTCAAAAATGATTTTGCAAATCTACTGGTAAAAGATAAAGGAATTAATGAGTCTTTTCTTTGACAATAATGACATAAATGAATAAAACTTTTTAATAATAACATAAATGTGTCTTTTCTGAAGTTTAATGACATATTTATTTGAGTCTTTTTCCTTGTTAAAGATTACTTTACCTCTTAACGTGCAATTTCCAAGTAGAATTCGAGTTTAATTGAGTACCAATTTCTACTATAGTAGAAAGAGCTTATTTCAACATGTCTGGTTAATGTCAATTAAATTGATCAAGGCAATTCAGACTTTTAAGCCAAATAATTATGCTATGTGTCTGTTAAGTTGAAAAGAAAAAGACACGTACCAATGTGTGTGCAGAGCACGTGTTATCATTCTTTCTATACTCTCTCTTGAAAAAGAAAGACAACAATTTATCCCATCACTTTTGTATTAGATTTGAAGCTCTAATTTCCATCAACTCACACAAAACCTATTCTAATTGTTGTGAAGATTAAACAATTAAGAGGAAGATCAAAGTAAAAAATTGAGAAAATTAAGCACCAAATTTAATAGATCTGATGACTATTGAAAATTGATTTAACCAAGAAATCAAAGCTGAGGCATTTTTCATGGTAACATGGTCATCTAGGTTTTCTTTGTTTTCGGAGATACTATCAATAGATGATTTTGGATGGGGTAACGACATGCATGTGTTTTTTTTATTTACTTTGATTATTTTTTTCTTTTCTTTATAAGTTATTCCAACAAATGCAAAATTATGCACCCTAGATGTTTGATTATTTGCCTAAGAAAACTGATTAATATTTTGTTATGTATAATTTTTAAATCTGTGTTGGTGATTTTCACTTGTTTCTTATTCTTCCTCGCCTTCTTTATCTCTTTGTTTTAGTTGTTCACCAATTTTTTTTTTGTTTCTCCATTTTCTTGATTCTTCTTTCACAGGTTTAACAACGATTTAAGTTTACTCATTGTGATTCATATATTATTTCTTTTTAATTTCACTGTAAGTGCTAGCAATTTAGCAGATCCTTTTAAGCCTATAAGTTTTATAATTGTGGAACTCATACTGTTTTCCTGCAATTGGTTTCGGGTATGTTCTTTTGCATTAAAAGTTATAGCAAGGTGCTTTTATTTCATTTATCGGATGAGTATGTTTGGAGATTTCTTTAAACTTTATACTTGATCAAGTTAGTTGTCTTCCATAGACATTTTTAACTCTTCTTTTTCATTATCATCTTTCATTTGCTCTGTCTCTTTTTGAGTTTGTAACTGTTTGGGGTTGAAGTGGTTTCTACTGTTTAATTTTTTCCTTTACTTGGATGCTTTTAACTAGCTAGATTCTATATGCATTAATTTCAAGTTTTTGCCTCATTTGCTCATTGCTTGATGTACATCAAGAAAGGAAAAAAAGATCTTTAGAAATTACTCTAGCAGTGTGAGAACATTAGACGACGCTTCCTCTTAAAAGACACTATTGGATTAATTATTGAGTTTTTGGGCATATATTTTTTTCCTTTATCTCAATTTGAGTTGTAAGTTATATTAGGTGTGTGCCTTATTATGAGTTTTTCTTTCTTTTTTGTTTAATTAAGGTATGCAATTACTGCTAATAGAGTTTGATGAACGTTTTTAGGTGTTTGATAATATGCCTAAAATAGTTGATATTTTTTTTTATTAATTTTAACTTTTCTCTTTTGATAGATGTTTTACAACTTGTAGCAGATTATTTCACTTCACTGAATTTGAAAGAAATTCTAGCTTTGTTGAAGGAAAATATGGCTGTCAATCTGCCATAGATATAGTGATGCAGAGAATGAAGATTAGAAACACCGTATAAATACAACAAAGAGAGACCTTTTTTGCAGATCATCATGCCTTCATCTCCAGCATGATGAGTTGCGACATAAAATTTTTATCAGGTTTGATAATTATTTAAGCTTTCATTCACCACATTTGTTTCAATCTTCTTTACTCTGATCAATCAATAGATGATTTGAAATGGGATAAATGTGAATCAGGTGTTTCAACATCTACTGCTTGTGCTTTTTGTGTGGTTATTTTGCTAATGATTAATTGGATATGCTCCTATATTGATTGACTTCAATTTGTTGATAGTTATTAGGAGCAAACTACTTCAACTTTTAGGAGCACAATTAAGAGTAAATGTGCAAAACTAAATGAAAATATTTTGAAAAAATGTGTAATTGTGATGATTATTTTTTATTTTATTTTTATCTCTTATAGCTATAGAAAATTATTTGACTTTTTCATTACTGATACAAAGTCACATGACATATGTATAGTTATTCTTCCTCTTTACTGTATTTGTTGTTGCTGTACAATAATGGTATGCATATAAGGTTGCTAATTTCTTGTCAGTATGAAGAATTTTTGTTACTTTTCATTTTAATGTCTTATGGTATTTAGTGATTATTTTGTTCTTTATTTTGTGAATGATGATGTTTTTTTCTGGATTACTATCTCAAAATTTCAAGTAAGCATTATTAATCTTTTTCATTCCAAGTTTTACTTCTTGTCATTACATGCTTTTCTTTTCTTGGTTAGGAATTAAAAATTTAACTGTTAGAAAGATAATTGTGAGAGAATGAATTAGATTCAAAAGATTAGGACAAGGCAATGTAAGTTTACATCTTTCATCATTGATTTTTTTTAAATAATAGTTAAGCCAATCATGTTCTGCAACTTTGTTGGTTTTAGAAACCAAGGAAGTAGTACATTTATTTTTACTCTGTGTTTATGCTTGGATAGTAAAGAACTTCTGATGTTCATATTCATATACTATATTAACTGGAAATAGTATCATTACTACAATAAACAAAATTAGTGGTTGTTCATATATGACAAGTTCAGCAAATAGACAGGACATTGAAGATATTTGATGGTCATGATTAAAGATACATACAAAATAAATCATGTAGGAGTGGAATATCAGATGTGATAATTATGACTTCTTATCTTCATCTATCTCTAGACAACACATGCTTCTTTGTTATTTATTTATGAAGAAGTATTGTTTTATCAGATTATGAATTATCATGCTGAACGATTCATCTATTGATCAAAAACTTATAATTGCTTTAAGTGAATCTTGTGCCACCATCCACATATAATATATACGGAAAACAAGAAAAAAATTTAGTATGTTGCCTCTCAGGTGATGTTTATTTGAAGTCACCATTCGGCCTGATGAAGGATATTATGTGCAAGTAGTTCTGCTGAAACTATTCTCTCTCTTTAATGAAGTATATTCCTGAAAAAAGTTTACTTCGACTTGGATATGCCTTTCTGCATTCGTATTTTTATGGAAAATTGGTGCACTTCAAGTTAGCTTTCCTCGATGTTGATAACGTACATTGTATTATTTGTTCGTATTCAGGGGTGAAACTTTTGTCTTCGTATTCAGGGGTGAAACTTTTGTCTTCTCTTTCAGCATTTCTTCTATTTATCATTAGCTCTGGAAACTCGGATTTTGCAGGTTTACCACCCGAATATTGACTTGGAAGGTAATGTGTGTCTCAACATTCTTCGAGAAGACTGGAAACCTGTGCTCAACATCAACACAATAATCTATGGCTTGTATCATTTGTGTTGTCGTATTCTGCTCTTACAGAAGGTTGTTTGTACATGAATCAACCATCATTGCCACAACTTGGACAAGCTAATTAAAGTATGTGAATTCACAATGTTAAATTTATTATCCGTGACTTTTGAACAATGTCTTAAGCCAACTTACTACTTTACTTAAGGGTCTTATTGGTGTCGACTGTAAAAAGATAAGACTTTTTTCCAAAACAACTTGTACACATTTTGAGTTGCTTCTTTTCTTGGTGCTGCTCCCATCGCTGAAAGATCCACTGAATTGTTTAGGTAGTACTACAGTTCATAAAGAGCGGAGAATAAATGCACGCACTTAGTTGCATAAATAAATATTCCACTTTAAATCTAAAATCATTTTTCCTCTTCTGCAGGTACATTTTCTAGGTACTAACACTGAAAAGAAACTAAAATGTAGCAGTATGTAAATAGTATAGGATGTAAACATCCTATGTAAATGTAGCCACAACTACAAACAAATGATTGGCAACCATTTATATAAAGTTTGTTTGCGCAATCAACTCGCAAAAATTTAGCCCATAAAAGTCATTCATAATCCATTGATACGTACGTGCGCAATTTAACTCGCAAATTTTTTTTATTGGGCCCGTGCTTACACGGGCCATCACTGCCTAGTTATATGAATACAGGTGAAACCTTGGATATTGGCCATTGGGGCATCAAAGTCATGGACCAGTAACTAGCCAACCTTTTGCATGTTGTTAGTATATATATATATATATAGGAAAAAGCTTAAATATGTCATTAAATTTTTAGAAAAGATTTATTTATGTTATCAGTTAAAAGTTTGGTTTATTTACGTCATTATCGTTAAAGAAAAGCCCTCTTTCATGCCATTATATTTTAACAATGATTTTGCAAAACCATTTTTGATACGTGGTATAATATAATTCGGTCACCTCATCAATTTTTTTAACTAAAAAAATAAAAAAAATTAATTTAATTTTTATTTAGAATTTTTATTTTTTTATTAAAAAAATTGACGATAGTGACTAATTATAATTCGGCCATGTCATCAATTTTTTAAATAAATAAATAAATAAATAAATTTTAACTTTTTTTCAGAATTATATTTTTTTTTAAAAAAAATTGATGATATGACTGAATTACAATTAACCACGTGCCAAAAATGGTTTTGCAAAACCATTGTTAAAAAATAATGAAAAGAAGGAGCCTATTCTTGAACAATAATGGCATAGATGAACCAAACGTTTAACGGACGGCCTAAATAAGCCTATTCTAAATTTCTCCAATTCTAACCAACTCAAAATTAGTATAAAAATTATCTCAGTTGGTTAATTGTGTAAATAATTTTAACCCATCGATAATAAAAGTAAAACCAAATGTAGAAAGAAAGAAAAAAAAAAGTAAAATATGATGTATATATATTACTATGAAGATTGGGTTGTAATACAACCAACCACCAAAGTTCATTACAATACTCGACAACATATAAGTACTCCAACAAACAAAAATACAAAATAAAAGAGACAACATATTATAAAATGATGGATTAAACTCGATCGATCGATAGATATATCCGTCTTATTTTTCCCCAATTATGCCTTGGAAAATTGAACTTTCATCAACCTTACTGAACCCTGCAATATACCATATTAAACCAACATTAACAAATCGATACAAGTACACATCATTATTTTAACATGTTAAATCATATAATTTTATTAATCGTCGTATATGAATTAAACTAAAGAAATGTATAACGTACTTCGAGCAGTCAGTAAAAGGGCTGATCTTGTAAGGAATGCTTACGCCACAAGCACTAGGTATACCAGCGGCTTTGCCTAGATTAAGGCCTTTAATAGCATTAGCAGCTGATTTGAGGCAAGTGCATGCTGTCTTTCGATCCGCGGGGGTCTTGGCTGCGCCCAATAGACCCTTAACTCCACGACAACACCCTCCTAGAGGGCCTTTTCCCTGAAGATAAGGGAGGCATGGAGCTAAGCCAGATTCAACCTGGCCGCAACTTAGTGCTTCTCCATGGGGTGCAACCACTATCATGCACAAAACAATAAAGCATGCAATTTTGCTAGACATTTCCATTTGTTACAAAAATTTGAGAAAAGATAGAGAAGTTCTGTGGACTAGGAATGTATTTGCTTGAGTGTTGGGGTACAAAAGCTAGTGAGAACTTTAGGTATTTATAGATAGTAAATTAATTAATGAAGGAGTGAGAGAATTAGTTGGGAGTTGGGTTTAACTCCAATAATTAAGGAGGTGCCTCATGCTGGCTATGAAGTCAAAGTTAAGTTGTTAACGTGCCAAAGTTTTATTGAATAATGCTACGACTTATTAAGGCCCTTTGAAAAGCCACACCCTTAAAGGCAATATGGTTTTTCTAAGTGACTTCTGATCGAGAGAGAAACAACTTCATTCGTTATATATGTATTACAATTTTTTATGGTAGTATTGTATGATTGGATAATTATTTTTTTCATTTTTTTATATAGTCAGTTTTTACTTTGTATTTAAACTAAGAAATAATGTAATTTTATTCTTCTACGTATTTTTATTTAATTTTTTTAGAATTCAAGTTTTCAATCAATGACTATGAATTAATTTATTTTAATTAATTAATTTAATCAATCAACATAAATCATTTACTTAAATTTTCAAGTTGATTAAATGTATGTTTTCAAGGCTAATAAATCATAAAAATTAAAAAAAGAAATAATATGATAACCATAAATTATATGAAATGACAAACATTATTATAGATCAACTATATATAAAACAAAAAGATGAGAAATAAATAAGATTGGAGGGATTAGTGTGTTACATATATCCTCTCTCAAAATAAGTGTTGTCTTACCAAAAGTATATTTCATATTACTTGGGTTTTATAAGAAAAATAAATTAAAAAAATCAAAAGTTTTATTATATTTTTGTTCTTTCTATATGTTTCCTCGATTTATTTTTTATTTGTGTAATTTGAAAATTAAAGTAATAATTTATCATTTTATATCTATTTTATCTCTTGTAAATAATATTTATTTATTACTATCTGTACGACTTATAATAAATACGAGTGAGATATCGTGGAATTATCTTTGCATGTGGTATGTCTTATGAAAATAATACATACATATCCAAACTCCACCAAATTAAAGGTAAAAAGAAAATAAAAGTTTGAAGAACATAGCATTGGTTAGCCCCATTTTTTTTCATGACTGCCCATGTCAACTTTGATTTCCCTTTAGTTTAGATTTTAGAAAATAGCTATAAATTTAAATGATTTTATTTTATTTTAAGATATTTTTTAAATTTTAAATCAAACACTCCCTAAAGTTAAAAGTAACTTCAAACAGACTCGAAGTTTGGCTCTCTACCTTAATTATCTATATAATTGATCTACTTACAATGTATTTAGACACTTTTATACTCTCTTTCATTCAAGTTTATTTGTCTATGTTGAATTTGATAATTTCTTAAAAGTAATAAGTAAAATGATAATTTTGCTACCTTTTTACTTTATTCATCTCTAATAAAGAAGTATTTATTCATCAAAGAATCAATGTAAGCTCACAAAAAGAGAAATGTAAGCACCCTCATATGCATTGAGTTCAAAATCAAGGCACATAAAGAAAATACATTTTATACATGTTTTTAACCAAAAGAAAACAGATTCTTATACATATTATATATATATATATATATATATATATATATATATATATATATATATATATATATATATATATCACTTGTAAAAATTATAAATAAATCATCTCATGAGAGTTCGATTCCCATTTGAAATTTCCTCTCCATTTCTCTTTTTTCTATCCCCAATATAAAAAAGTATTTACAAGATAGTCCTTATTAGAAAATATATGTTGTAATATGCATGTCAAATAAAGGCACACATTTTAAAAACAGTGAGCTATTTATTAAGGGAAAATATATTTGGCAGGACACTTTTTTGGCACGAATTCGGTTAATTTTTTTTTTTTTTTTTGTAATTTTGTTGAAAAGGGAAGAATAATGGAGTAAATTCATTTATTTTTTTATCCAAAATACCCTTAAAATAAAATCATTTTGAATATATCAGAACCACTTTTGAGAAGTCAAACTCATAATTGTTACTTTTTCAGTTCATATTGTCCACGAAATTGGGGTCCCCCTTACCAATAAATGTATTAAAAGTTATGTTTCTTTCTCCTTTTTTTTTATTTTATATCTTTTTCTACTCCTTTTTTTCCTTTATATTACATCATAATTTTTTAATTATTATTCTTATTAAATATATTTATTTATCTAGAAACTTCGTATTCTTAGTAAGATTGTTTTGCTCGTGATTTAATTTGAATTGTTTTTTAATTAAATGAAAAAATTTAATTAATTTGATTTTTCAAATATTTATCAAGTCAAATTAATTAAGTCAATTTTCATAATTTTTTTTGTAAATTTTTCTTGCTATTTGATTTTTTGGACTTCTAAAAAATATATGATACTATAAAATTTTGTTAAAGTACATATATATAGGATCCTTCAGAAAACAAATTACGCATTATTTAAAAATTTAATTATTTTAAAGAAAAATGATAAAATTATTTCAAACGATTTTAATATTTTCTTACAATATTAAAGATGAAGATATGTTAAGATATCTTGTTAATATTTGATTTAAATAAAAATAATCGTTGAAAATAATCAACTGATAAGAAAGAGAGTAAATACAGTTCTTTACGTAATTATGAACGAATGCAATTGCAGCTTCAATGGTTAAAGCTTAAACGAAGAGTCTATAGGTTACAAGTTAGATTCTAGGTTATGTCCCAATTTTAGGTATTTTTTTTTAAATAGACTCTTTGAAGCTATTAGGATTTAAATAATTTTTAATGTTATATTACTTTGGTAAATATGATTGTAAAAGTTTATATTCAGATTGTTTCATAAAAATTGAAGATTTTTCATTATTATAAGTCGATCATTATGATAAAAATAAATGTACTAAATATAGTATTATATGAGTTATGCACCCTTACAAATACAAGTCAATTGAATGTGATTATATATGCATGATCAAGTTATAATAAGATAATACTATTATTTATGACTTTGATCGGTTTATCTTCACATATTAGGAGTTATTAGACTATATTTATTGATAATATCACATTTTAAATTTCCTAGTGATATTTATTAAACAACTGATATGAAAGAGAGTAAATATATTTCCTTATGTAATTATGAATGAATGTTATTGCAGCGTGAATGGTTAAAGCTTAAACGGATAGTCTACAGGTCACAAGTTTGAATCTAGGTTATGTCCCAATTTTAGATTTTTTTTTAAAAAAAAAAGATTCTTTGAAACTTTTAGGATTTAAATAATTTTTAAATTCAATTTTTTGGTGCATAAGATTATAAAAGCTTATATTTGGATTGTTTCATAAAAATTGAAGATTTTTCATTATTATAAGTCGAATCATTATGATAAAAATAAATGTGATGGGTACAATATTATATGAGTTATGCTCCCTCACAAACAAGTTAATTGAATACTATTATGTATGAATGATCAAATTTTAATTGGGTAATACAATTAATTATTGTACATGTCAACCTTTGATCAATTTATATTCACATTTTAGTAGTTATTAGACTATATTTATTGATAATATCTCATTTTAAATTTACTAGTGATATTCAATAAACAACTGATATGAAAGATAGTAAATACATTTTCTTTCATAGTTATGAATGAATGCTATTGCAGTGTATATGGTTAAAGCTTAAACAAATAGTCTATAGGTCACGAGTTCGAATCTAAGTTTAGGTTTCCAATTTTAGGTTATTTTTAGATTTTTTTTTGTAAGTCTATAGGTCATGAGATTTTTTTACTTTTTTCTCCAGACCTATCGTATGCACCATCAAAATCTTCATGATTTTGGGACAACAAACTATCATCCTCATCTAAATCCAAAATATTATTCAATACTTCATTTAATTGACTATTCGAATTCATCTTGTTAAAATTATATGAATCTAACGACAAAATAAAATCTTGAACAATAAAATAAGATAAAATTGTGAACGAAGTAAAGAAGAAAAAATGAGTAAGGTAAGAGAGAGAGAGAAAATAAGAAAGAAAAAGTTTAAGAGTGATTTTTTATTTTGAATGGAAACAACAAGTGATTTTAAAGTCAAAAGGTTATTTAGTCATTTACTCATAGCTTGCCAATTCATGCCAAAAAAATATCTTGTCATTTAGTAATACTCATTTATTAAATGCTCAATTTGAGATTGATTGAAAATACATTCCCTTCTAGGGAAGAGGTTTCATATTTTGGAAGGACAAATATGAGATGGAGACATATACTGCTATCTGAATAATCAAATAAATTAATTGTGAATAAACTGCCATGCTCACACCTACCTCAAAGCACCCACCACATTTCAATTTTCATTTAAGGTTTTTGGGTCCATCTATTTTTTAACTTTTACAATAATCTCTCCGTCTCATATAAGACAAATATCTTATTAAAAATATTTATTTCATATTACTTGTTTATTTAGTAAATTAAAAAAATTATTACTTTTTCATTTTATCTCAATAATCAATATAACACAAAACGAAAGAAATACTATATACCTAACACGTGCTTGAGAATATATTTTTAACTTGTTTGGAATTGGACACCGGTGAAAATAAAATAATAGGTGGCAATATGATTGTAAAGTTTTCTCAATGGGTCATTCTCTCTCGGTGTAGGTTACTAACGTGCGTTGGCCATGGGGAAGAGAGCTCGTGCTCCATCGCAGAAAACTCTAATGGCACTGGAAGCAACAACAAAAGGAAATCTACATAAAGGGAAAAAGGCATAGTAGCTTGAACTCCAGGAAGAAATAGGAATTGGATCTGAATCTAGGGAAATGGAACATAGTAAGGCGGAGGTGGAGAAAGAGCACCAGTTGGCTAAATGAAATGCCAAGTATGTAGAGAAGGAGAACAAGGTAGTAACACAAAAACATTGGGCAGGAATCACAAAATCACAATCTTTGAAAATGGGGTCTCCGTCTGAAAATGGATCGGCGGCATGGGCAGATGAAGTAGAAGAGGTAATGTTGCAGAAACCAAAGGCTGGAAAAGTGTGGGATACATTTGACATTTCTA